GAAACTATCTGCTCGGGAACAGCGAGATTGTGAGGTTATTGAACGACTCATTAAATCATATTTTCTCATTGTCAGAAAGAATATTCAAGACAGGTTAGTATTACTTAATATAAATCACAGGCTCTAATACTGCTGGATGATTCTATGATCTGTTTTGAAAAATACATGTATTTTTAAAATTTTAGGTTTTTATTCTAAATCATCGAGTGGATTCTCTGATAGTCCTTTGGTAACTTGTAGTAAGACTCAGTTTGTTAACATAGAATGACTAGGACCTCATGTATCAGCTAGAAAAAGCTATTAAAATGAATCTTTTGTTCTATATGGCTGCCACATTTTGAGTCATTTAAGAAAATTTTTTTTCCTAAATTTTAATTCAGTAGTTTCATTAATTATTCTGGCTAGTAACACTGACTTGCCTTTTTAATTTAACTTGGCTTTCCGAAGTATCAAAACGAATGTCTTTTACTAAGAAATATGTATACGGTTTCTCGTTCAGAATGTTTTTGCCTGTGTCTACTCCCCTACTGCATCTTCTCCTTCATGTTGCCTGGTATGTCATTTCATGCAGTAATAGGGAGAATACACATTTAGTTGTATGAAGTGATCTATTAGAAAATATTCTGTATCCAGTTGTTGGTAATCTGTCAGCAGCTAAGATGAATTTTACTGCACAGAGTAATAAATATACTTCATATTGAAATAAATGATTTTGTCTGTAGAACCATTTATCTTTTTTGCTTGTAGATTTTAAACCTGTAGCTTGTGGTAGAAATAATAGTTCCTAGTGTTTTACACTGTGGGCCTGAAGAAAAAATTCCATTTGTTTCCTTCACTGCCCCCATCCCCTGCAGAGGGTGTTTTTGTTTTGAGATGGAGTCTCGCTTTGTCGCCCAGGCTGGCGTGCAGTGGCGTAGTCTTGGCCCACTTCAACCTCCGCCTTTGGGGTTCAAGCGATTCTCCTGCCTTAGCCTCCTGAGTAGCTGGGATAACAGGTGTGCAGCACCATGCCTGGCTGATTTTTGTATTTTTAGTAGAGATGGGTTTCACCATATTAGCCAGGCTGGTCTCGAACTCCTGACGTCAGGTGATTCACCTGTCTCGGCCTCTCAAAGTGCTGGGATTACAGGCGTGAGCCATCGCACCTGGCTCACTTAATATTTTCAAGCCTTATCTGTATTGTAGTATGAATCAGTATAGTCATGCGCCACATAACATTTTAGTCAACACACAACATATTTGAATGTGTTCCCATTAGATTATAATACCATATTTTTGCTGTACATTTTCTATGTTTAGATACACAAATTCTTCCATTGTATTACAGTTCCCTATTCAGTACAGTAACATGCTGTACATGTTTGTAGCCTAGGAGCAATAGGCTATCCCATATAGCTTAGACGTGTTGTAGGCTGTACCATCTACATTTGTGTAAGAACCCTCTGTGATGTTCATGTAATGAAATCATCTAATAATGCATTTCTCAGAGCATATCCTTGTCATTAATGTATGTTTTTATCTGTGAATAATACTAGATTATAGAGATATACTGTGTTATCCATTCATCAGCTGATGTTTGTGTTTTCTTCACTTATTGGCTATTATGAGTAAATGCCTATTGAAGAGTTTTGAAATAAGGATGATGGAAAGAAGGTAAAGTAGCTCAGCCTCTCGAGTAGCTGGGATCACAGGCATGTGCCACCGCGCTGAGCTAATTTTTGTAGTTTTAGTGCAGACGGGGTTTCACCATGTTGGCCATGCTGGTGTCAAACTCCTGGCCTCAAGCAATCCACCTGCCTCAGCCTCCTGAAGTGCTGGGATTACAGGCATGAGCCACTGCGCCCGGCCGAGAACTGCTTTTCTTAATGTTTAATTATAATTAAGCAAAAATATAAAGGGCGATTACGCCATAAATGAAATATCCAAAGTAGTACAGTGTTCTTACTTAACTTTATTTCATGAGGTTATTTTCTAAGCCCAGATTATTAAAAGTAGAATTTTGGCTAAAATTCCGTAATTTGGTTTTGTTTGCAGTGTGCCAAAGGCAGTAATGCATTTTTTGGTTAATCATGTGAAAGACACTCTTCAGAGTGAGCTAGTAGGCCAGCTTTATAAATCATCCTTATTGGATGATCTTCTGACTGAATCTGAGGACATGGCACAGCGCAGGAAAGAAGCAGCTGACATGCTAAAGGTACTGTGAACCTTTGGAATTTTTATACTTGGGTAGTAGATAGAAACATAGAAATAGTGTTAAATGCAGTTTGATTCTTGGATGTATATAGTCTTTATATTCTAGCTAGGCTTGTTTCCTATTGGTACTTGATAAAAATCTTTTTTTTTTTTTTTTTTGAGACGGAGTCTTGCTCTGTAGCCCAGGCTAGAGTGCAGTGGCGCCATCTCAGCTCAATGCAAGCTCCGCCTCCTGGGTTCACGCCATTCTCCTGCCTCAGCCTCCAGAGTAGCTGGAACCATAGGCACCTGCCACCATGCCCGGCTGCTTTTTGGTATTTTTAGTAGAGACCGTGTTAGCTAGGATGGTCTCGATATCCTGACTTCATGATCTGCCCACCTCAGCCTCCCAGAGTACTGGGATTAAGTGCTGGGATTACAGGCGTGAGCCACCGGACCCGGCCGGTACTTGATTGGATTCAAATTCCAGAGAAGATATTGGTTAGTTATAAACCTACCACAAATACACTGGAAAAGGCCGGGCGCGGTGGCTCAAGCCTGTAATCCCAGCACTTTGGGAGGCCGAGACGGGTGGATCACGAGGTCAGGAGATCAAGACCATCCTGGCTAACCCGGTGAAACCCCGTCTCTACTAAAAAATACAAAAATCTAGCCGGGCGAGGTGGCGGGCGCCTGTAGTCCCAGCTACTCGGGAGTCTTGAGGCAGGAGAATGGCGTGAACCCGGGAGGCGGAGCTTGCAGTGAGCTGAGATCCGGCCACTGCACTCCAGCCTGGGCGACACAGCGAGACTCCGCCTCAAAAAAAAAAAAAAAAAAAAAAATACACTGGAAAAATCACCCCGCATAATTCAGATTCATTTCATAACTTTGTAATAGCATTTAAAATTTTTATTTCCTTTAATGCAGGCATTACAAGGAGCCAGTCAAATTATTGCTGAAATCCGAGAGACTCATCTTTGGTGAAGAGAACTATGTAATACTGAGACTTTGTTGACTCAAAACTTGCTAGTTACTGCCTACCTGAGTAGAATCTTATTTATGAACTCCTGTGTATTGCAGTGGTATGAATCTGCTCATGTGAAGACTGGCTATAAACTGAAAAGTGTATTCCATATTACAGAACGAATCACACATTTAATCCAAATAATAAATGGCTGTTTCTAAAGTTTCCCAGTATATGTAAAATACATCAAGTCTGTCTTGTGACAGTTTCATCTGAACTTAAAAAGAACTGTTAATGTTCTAGCTGTGCAAAGCAGTTTGCCTGTGGATAAGATGACCTGTGTAATAATCTTTGTTAGTAGTCTCAAAGCTGCTGCCATAGTCCTCCAAGAAGAAAGCACCAAGACAACATTTCATATGACTATAATGCATGTACTATATAAGCTGATATGGCTTTGAAAGATGTGAGTTGGCAAGTTCCTCACAGAGTCATTGTATTCCACCTGTCCTGCAATTTAGTTTTTCTGAGCTTCTCTGCAGCCTTTGATGTGTTTTTAAGAAAGCTGAATGCACAAGAGGATCTGTGACACTGACATGGATGTGGTGTGCATACTGTGTAGTTACATAGCCCTTCCAATTCTGGGTCCATTTGCGCTAGCAAATTAAAATATGCTTTGCTTCATACTTAAACCTGAAAGCTGGAATGTGTACATTAATTCCTACATTAAAAATAGCCATCTACCCTTGATTATCTAGAAAGACTTGGTAATGATGGCCAGTTCCTTTTAGGTTTTAGAAAATCAAATGATGACCTAAATTTCCCTTAATTTGCAAATACAGTAGTAATTAAGGTACATCTCTCTAAAGTGGAGCACTTAAACCAGGCTCTAAGATACACTTTGAGGTGGAACCTAAAACCAATGTACTGTATGTATGCACTGGTAATAACTACTTTTGCTTCATACCAACAAAATGTATTAGAATAGTATGAAAGTACTGGAGGAGCTGAAAGAAAAACACCCAAGGCCGGGCGTGGTAGCTTACGCCTGTAATCCCAGCACTTTGGGAGGCCGAGGCAGGCAGATCACCTGAGGTCAGGAGTTGGAGACCAGCCTGACCAACACGGAGAAACCCCGTCTCTACTAAAAAATACAAAATTAGCCGGGCATGGTGGCGCATGCCTGTAATCCCAGCTACTCGGGAGGGTGAGGCAGAAGAATCACTTGAACCTGGGAGGTGGAGGTTGTGGTGAGCTAAGATCGTGCCATTGCACTCCAGCCTTGGCAACAAGAGCGAAACTCCGTCTCAAAAAAGAAAAAAGAAAAAAACCCAGATACACATACTCCTTCAGATTTAAGCTGCATTTATGGGGTAGTGATGAGGTTTAGAACATATACATATTTTATTAAAATTCCCCAGATGATTCTTGGTATGAACCACAACATGATAAATTTTAAGATATACTTAGAAATCCTTAAGACATCTAGCCCCATTTCTAATAGACAACACATTTATATTGCGGATAATTTTTTTTTTTTAAGTTTATGACCCGATATTTATGAAGGACTACTGGCAGGGAAAATATGAATATGTTAACTTTAGCTTATGGCACCAATTTACTAAGGAACAACAGGCTCACCAACTGATCTCAAACATAAAAAACCAAACATCATCAGTCTGATCCGATATGGTACTACTTCGAATCTCTTACTAGTACCATCTTGAGAGAGGATACATGCTCCCAAAACATTACCACACTTAAAAATCACTGCCATCATTAAGCATCAGTTTCAAAACTATAGCCATCCATGATTTACTTTTTCCAGATGACTACCATTATTCTAGTCTTTTGAATTTGTAAGGGAAAAACAAAAACAAAAACAAAAATTTTTGATGCACTTTTCTCAAGCATATCAGATTTCAAATGGAAAATTAAAGACATGCTATGGTAATGCACTTGCTAGTACTACACGCTTTGTACAACAAAAATCGGAGGCAAGAAACTTAATGGAAAGAGAAAAACCTTCCTTTGTTGGCCCTTAAACTGAATCAAGATCTGAAATGTAGAGATGATCTCTGACATTTATAACATACCTGTATGTTCTTGCTGTGTAAATAAAATTGCTGGTATGAAATGACGTTAAAGTTTGTCAAAAAATGAATTCTTAACTTTTCTCCCAGAGAAAGGGAGAGAGAGAAAAGAAAGAGCTGTTTAATACCTAAATCTATTTTGGAACATAACTGTATAGAATACCAAACATTTTATGACTTTTTTCCTACCAGATTCTGACAGTTCAGCAAGGTATTATAACACCTCCATTTTTGCGTATGAAGACAGTGACTTGCTCCAAGTAATCCAGGTAGTAATGGCTAGAATTTGAACACTAAAGCCATGCTCTGCTGCCTGTAAGGTTTTCAAAAGAAATCTGATTAATCATTTCGTATGTGATTCACTTGATCCTCAAGGCAACAGGGAGGCCATTGCCTTGATTTTTCAGATATGGAAATAGTTCTGGAGAATTAATTTGCCTCATGTTTGCAGAGCTAGCTCAGTCTTGATTCCAAATCCTTTAAGTTTGACCTGAAAACTTGCCTTACCTGGATACTTTTTGATATTCTCATATGATTGCATATTTGGTATAATTGCCTTTATTTTGGGGGTATAACTTTTTAATTTACCTCAAGTTGGAATCTGGGGGGAAAAGTTGAAACTTAAAACCAATTTAAATTTCTAAATTTAAAAAAACATTGCTACCATAGGAATCCACTGACATGGCTTAACGTGAATAGAATTACACTGGAACACAGGCAAGGAACTAGAAAACTGAATTAGAAACTTTCTGAAAAGTCACATACTGATTTTTGTACTATTCTTTGTAAAGAAACTACTTCTTACTGTAATTTCTCAAAGCAACCATAGCCTCATCTAACTATTCTCCTTTTTAGGGAGAACTACATTTGCTCCCTGAACTACAAAAAAATCAAATTTCGAATCAAAGTTTTTAATACTAGTTTTTCCATTTCTAATGTGGACACTAGAGGCCCTGTTGATTTTATAAACAACTATATAACATTAGTGAGATCGGTGCTCCATATCTGATACAAAAGCAGCTACAATTCCTTTATTTTTTGGAGACAGAGTGTCACTCACTACTCATGCTCTCTCCCAGGCTGGAGTGCAGTGGTGTGATCTCAGCTCACTGCAACTTCCATCTACTGGGTTTGAGTGATTCTCGCAGCTCAGCCTCTTGAGCAGCTGGAGTTACAGGTCTGCCACCATGCCTGGCTAATTTTTATATTTTCAGTAGAGACAGGGTTTCACCCTGTTGGCCAGGCTGGTCTCAAACTCCTGGCCTCAAGCGATTTGCCCAGCTTGGCCTCCCAAAGTGCTGGGATTACAGGTGTGAGCCACCGCACCCTGCCTCACAATTCCTTACACTACCTCTTTTTCATTGTTCCTCGTCACTACAAAAAGGAGAGCAGGAAGGGTAAGATACGAAAGTGAGCATTTCTTTCTCTTCTGAAGTATAATTTTAAAAAGAGATTAACACTGAAAGTCATGGTTTCTTATGGTAATCAAGGTTTGCACATCAGAAAATAAAACATCCCATCATTAAACAAATATTTATTAACCAGCCCATAAAAATAATGAAGTTACTCACACTGAGTCCTAGTCCATTCTATTTTTCTGATTTGCATAAGCAAAGGTCTAAGTTCTGGAGCCAGCCCTTCAGGTCTTGAGAATGAAGGATGGTTAAGTTTATTTGGACAACATGAAGGACTTTTCATCATAACTGAAGCCATTTTATTATGTAGAAATTTCTTTTTCCTATTTTAAGTAAGGAAAGTCCATTCTTGAGAATATGTTGTCCAACAACTAAAACACTCTCAGGATTTGTTACTTGTCGGTGATTTATGCTGACTCCGCCTTCTGTTATCATTCGATACCTAAAAAACAGAAATGTTTAGTAAGTAGAGAGATCCAATCACTGTTGATCTGTCCCCCAAAAAAGACTGTTCACTTAGATTTCAGAGGCCCTCCAGTTGAGAACATGTGGCCCTGGACTGTTACCTTCATGTTTGCTCTATTATTAATAGATTCTGCCTCCCTTTAATGCTCTTTGTTTTTTGTTTCTTTTTGAGACACAGTCTTGCTCTGTAGCCCAGGCTGGCGTGATCTCAGCTCACTGCAACCTCCGCCTCCTGCGTTCTAAGTGATTCTTCTGCCTCAGCCTCCAGAGTAGCTGGGATTACAGGTGCATGCCACCACACCTGGCTAATTTTGTATTTTTAATAGAGACGGGTTTCGCCATGTTGGCCAGGCTGGTCTCAAACTCCTGACTTCAGGTGATCCACCTGCTTCGGCCTCCTAAAGTGCTGAGAATACAGGTGTGAACCACTGCACCTGGCCGGAATTTATGCCTATGCATCTGAGATGCAAGGCATAATGGTAAATTTCTTGTTTAGCGGAGAAAAAGAGCTGGCATATCTCACTGCTTTTGCTAACTATTCAGTTGGTAGTGGCTTTAAAAACGAAGTGAATAGGAATAATGGAGAATTTCCCCCCCACCACTTTGGGGAAAAAAAAATCACAGAAAAGAAACTTCCAAAAATAAAAGAGAACAATGTTGCTTTCAGTAAACTATCCATGAGACACAAGTCACAACTACAGTGTTAGCTACTGTTGCTTTCAGTAAACTATCCATGAGACACAAGTCACAACTACAGTGTTAGCTACAGAAATCTTTAGGAAATTTGCTTATGAAGCTGGAAAGTCCTTGCAAATTATATTGAGACTATGCAAATAGCAAATTGTTAAAATGAAAAATTTTCTTAAAAATGAAATTGGTTGGTTTCAGAAATTGGAGATCCATAGCTGATCTAATATATCAGATTACTAACCAAAATTTTTGATGGCATATATAAAGTTAAATAAATTTCACTGGAGTTATTTATCATCCAACTAATTCACTAAACATTTACAGAGCTCTATGTGCTAAATATAAATGGTACTGCAATCTAGCAGATAAAGACAAATATATGAACGATGACAACACACTGTGATTAATGCTGACCTAGGAGAAGCTGGGCACGGTGGCTCACGCCTGTAATCTTAGCACTTTGACAGGCCGAGGCGGGCAGATCACAAGGTCAGGAGATCAAGACCATCCTGCCTAACATGGTGAAACCCCGTCTCTAGTAAAAAATACAAAAAAATTTAGCCGGGTGTGGTGGCGGGCGCCTGTAATCCCAGCTACTCGGGAGGCTAAGGCAGAACTGCTTGAACCCAGGAGGCAGAGGTTGCAGTGAGCTGAGATCACGCCACTGCACTCCGGCCTGGGCAACAGAGCGAGACTCTGTCTCAAGAAAAAACCAAAAAAGACCTAGGAGAAGTTCTAGGAGCACACTGGGTAGGTGAAGGCTGAACATTTCACTGAAAAAAGAGATACTTAAACTGGGAGTGAAGCTACCTTGACAATCGTCAGGGAACGGGAGCAGCCAGAAAGAGGTGAGATCTGAGAAGTCTGGGCTACAGCATGGCTAGATCTTGGAAGTCCTTAATAAAGATAAATGGTGGTTTTCTCTCATCTGAATGTGTTACCAAGTAAAATTAAGAAACAACTACTGACATAGTTTTAAAAATATTTTTATACCTTTTTTTTTTTGGGGTAGAGACGGAGTCTCACTACATTCTTGACCACACGGATCTCAAATTCCTGGCCCCAAGCAATCCTCCCGCCCCCGGCCTTCCAAAGTGCTGGGATTACAGGTGTGAGCCACCATACCTGGCCATGGACATGGTTTTATAAAACTCATCAGTAAAAGATTTTCTACTTAAGGCAGATTCCTTTTTTTTTTTAGAAAGTATTATTTTACGTTGTCTGCTGGTTTCCAGATCATGTTCTATGTTTTATTTAATTAGAGCCCTGGCTAAATCAGATGTGATGTCATCTTCAGTAGTGGTAAAGCTTCCAGTATTAGTGAACACACCATAGTAACGCTGAGAAGAAAACAAAATCTGCTTCCATACTGAGGAAAATTATTTGTCTCAGTGACGTACTCTAGGGAAGTATATGACACCAGCCTCAAATTCACTGTGTATTAAACCAGCAGATGAGGGAATCACTAAGGCGGAGTGGTAGGTGATACATAGGGAGACGGTGGGTACTTTCTCCAGGCAGAATAATCTAGGACTCTTTAGGACAGAGGCAAACAATCCAAGACAATTGAAAGAACAGCATCTGTAACAAATGTCATTCATAATCATGGCCATGATATGGCTGACAAGCATTTGACTTATGTGTGAATTCCTGTAAAAGAGGCACCCAGGGGTCTTCTGGCTACCCAACACTTTTCCTTCCATTTCACTGCTCCTTTAAAAATGGATAAGCATCAATTATATGCTGAATTATTTTTTGTGAAACATCTTATTCCTTAATACCTCATAACTGAGGAATTAAAATATTCTACTCAATTCCTGAATAGAAAATGCAATTCTCAAGGGGATTATTATATAGTTTACAATAATAGTCTTATGACGTTAGGTCAGTGCAAAAGTACTTGCGGTTTTGGCCATTATATGCTCATTTCATTTTCAGAAATTCAGATAATACTATCGATAGGTAACCTTTCCCATCCCTGAATATTAAGAGGATACAGACTATGAGAGGGGCTGGGTGAATCTGTTACACAGGGCCTCTGTTTCTGCGTCCCTCTAAAATTGTGACCATATCCCTAAGCCGTACACTGATGCCAGTATATTTACTGAACAACATGTCCCTCAAATGCACTTTTCCAGTGTTGAAGGAAAGACTGGGTTAGATGTAGTAAGAGACAGTATATGAGTATTGTACTATTATAGAAAATGTAAGGTATTTTAAAAAATAAGTACTCTCAGGCTATACTTTATTCTTGGACTAAACTAACTATTCTAAGGAAGAGATGCCACTAAAGCATTGTCAGGAAAACACCCTCTCTGGAAACACATGCTGTGAACTGTAACATTTTATTCATTTATTTATTGTTTGAGACGGAGTCTCGCTCTGTCGCCCAGGCTGGAGTGCAGTGGTGGGATCTCTGCTCACTGCAAGCTCCGCCTCCCAAGTTGACACCGTTCTCCTGCCTCAGCCTCCCAAGTAGCTGGGACTACAGGCACCAGCCACCACGCCCGGCTCATTTTTTGTATTTTTAGTAGAGACAGGGTTTCACCGTGTTAGCCAGGATGGTATCCATCTCCTGACCTTGTGATCCGCCTGCTTCGGCCTCCCCAAGTGCTGGGATTACAGGCGTGAGCCACTGCTCCTGGCCTTGTGAACTGTAACATTTAATGGTGAATTAACTGTAAATCTAAAAGTTAAATAATCTTACCCTCGGGGACCATCTGGAATGGCATTTGCTTTGCGGCAGGTATCTAGGACACTTGTTCCAGGATCGAGAAAAAATTCAGAAAATGGAGCTTCTTTAAATAACTCTTTTAACTCCTGATCAGACATGACCTCCAGTGCATCTACGCTACTGTGATAAAGGGCTTGTGTACACCTGAAAAACACATTTTAAGAGCCACATTATATAAATGTTTATTCAAATACATGTTCTAATACCCATTAACCAATTATAGAGTGTCCAAGTTCTAGACTAAAAGTTTTTTTTTTTTTGAGATGGAGTCTTGCTCTTGCTCTGGCTGGATTGCAATGGTGTGATCTCGGCTCACTGCAACCTCCGCCTCCTGGGTTCAAGCGATTCTCCTGCCTCAGCCTCCTGAGTAGCTGGGATTACAGGCGTGTGCCACCACACCCAGCAAATTTTTGTATTTTTAGTAGAGATGGGGTTTCACCATGTTGGTCAGGCTGGTCTTGAACTCCTGACCTCGTGATCCGCCCACCTTGGCCTCCTGATGTGCTGGGATTACAGGTGTGAGCCACTGCGCCCGGCCTAGACTAAAAGGTTTTTAAACATCTATCTGGTAAAATTCATGAACTTAATTCAAGATAATCCTTCTTTCCAATAAACAGGGGCTATTTTAAATTGCTAAGTCAAATACTGACAGTCCTTGTAATAAACGACAAGATAACCCTAAAACAGCATACCTCCTACTTTTCTCATGTCCATCCACTAAATAACCAGCAGGTGTTAATTATACTAAACGACTACCTTTTAGCAGAATCCAATCCTTCTCGTCCATGAACAAGCTTTGTTACTTCTGCTGCCAGTCGTTTCTGAGCACCCCACCTTTCTGGCTCTTTGACATGCAGCTGCATGATATGATCAATCTCTGGAAGGGGCAGGAAAGTGAACAGCTTCAGGTACCTTTGGGACAAAAAATAAAGAGTTACACTTACATCACATACCTAATTTGTATGTCCAGCTCCGTATTTACCCTTTAAAGTTTTCCTGCTTATTTTTAAATATGAAACAAACATACAGAAACATACTGAACATAGTAGGTCCCATGCACACATCACCCAGATTTAAGGTGTTACTATTTTGGCATCTTTGTTTTCAATTTCTTTTTTTTTTTTTTTTTTTTGAGATGGGGGGTCTTGCTGTTGCCCAGACTGGAGTGCAGTGGCATGATCATGGCTCACTGTAACCTCAACCTCCTGGGCTCACCCAATTCTACCACCTCAGCCTCCCAAGTAGCAGGGACCACAGGCTTGTGCCACCACACCTGGCTAATTTGTTAATTTTTTTTTTAAAGACAGGGTCTCCCGTGTTGCCCAGGCTGGTCTCAAACTCCTGGGCTCAAGTGATCCTCTTGTCTCAGCCTCCCAAAGTGTTGGGATTATGGGTGTGAGCCACCACACCCAGCCTCATGTATCCTTTTTAAAAGGAACAAAATAGGCATAGATGAAGGCCTCAGTCCAATCACGTTCCCTGCCTCGCCCCCAGAGATAACCATAAATCTAAGTTTATGTGCTACCATCCTTCCCAAGCATGTTTTTATACTTTTATGTGCATGTGGCCATAAAAAAAAGTACTAATTTTAAAAACTGATATAAATCATCATGCTCTGCATAATGATGCTCCTGTCAATGATGGACTGCATCTATCCGCGATCCCCAACCATTTTGGCACCAGGGGGCGGCGGGGAGGGAAGGTGGTTTCAGAATGAAACTGCTTCACTTCAGATCATCAGGCATTTGTTAGATCTTCATAAGGAGTGCGCAACCTAGTCTCTTGCATGCGCAGTTCACAACAGGGTTTGTGCTCCTATAGGAATCTAATGCCACAGGGGATCTGACAGGAGATGGAACCCAGGTGGTAATGCTCGCTCGCCTGCCCCTCAGCTCCTGTTGTGCGGCCCTGTTCCCAAGAGGCCACGGACTGGTACAGTCTACCAGTGGTCCATAATATTATAATACCATAGTTTACAGTACCTTTTCTACGTTTACGTATACAAATACCCTCATGTTACCATTGCCTTCAATAGTTAGTACAGTCATGTGCTGTACATGTTTCTGCCCTAGGAAGGGTACACTGTATAGCCTAGGTGTGTAGTAGGCTACGCTATCTGTGTTTGCGTGGGGACACTCTATGATATTTGCAATGATGAAATCACCTAACAACACATTTCCCAGAACGTATCCCTGTTGTTAAGTGATATATGACTATTAATATCATCCTATATGTATTCTCTTTTTAAACTTTTTCTTTGGTGAAATACCTAACACACAGAAAAAAGTACATTATTCGCAAAGATACAGCTTAATGAATCATAAAACATCTACGTAACCATTACCATAGTCAAGAAATACAATATTGGGCTGGGCGTGGTGGCTCATGCCTGTAATCCTAGCACTTTGGGAGGCCGAGGTGGGTGGATCACGAGGTCAGGAGATTGAGACCAGCCTGGACAACATGGTGAAACCCCATCTCTATTAAAATATACAAAAAAAGTCCCAGCTACTAAGAAGGCTGAGGCAGGAGAATCACTTGAACCCGGGAGGTGGAGGTTGCAGTGAGCTGAGATTGCGCCACTGCACTCCAGCCTGGTGACAGAGGTGAGACTCCATCTCAAAAAAAAAAAAAAGAGAAGAAAAGAAATACAGTATTGCCCTTACCCAAGAATGCACAAATATATCACACACCCCTCCAAGTTAATCACTATTTTGCCTCTGATAGTAATCCTTGTCTTTCCTGATACTTTTAACATCTCAGTATGCCTCCCTTAAGAGCATCACTTAATTTTGCCTGTCTGTAGGATTTTATATAAAAGGAATCATACAGAATTTATTTTCTGGCACGTCGATATGTTTAGGCGAGTCATCCATGATTCTGCATGTACAGCATTCCATGCTATGATTATCCTACAACGTGTTTTTCTGTGAACTTCTGTGCTGTTTCTATTTTTAGACAATTGCTATTAATGCTGCTCTGAATAGCCTCATATACCACTGTTGGTGCATATGTGCATTAATTTCTGTTGGGTATATGCCCAGAAGAGGAACTGCTGGATCACAGGTTATGTGCACATTTAGCTTTAGTAGGTACTGCCAAATGTTTTCCCAAAGTGGTTCTATACGTTTATTCTTCCACCACCTTGGAACAGTCTTGTCAGCACTTGGTTCTGCCAGCTCTTTTGTTTAGCCATTCTGGAGGGTGCATAATGGTATCTCGTTGTGCCCTTTATCTTGTATTTTTTCTTCTCAGTATGAAGGCTAAGCACCTTTTTATATGTTTTTGGCCTTTGGACAGGATCTTTGTGAAGTACCTGTTCAAGTCTGTTTCCCTTGTTCTGCTGGGTTGTCTTTTTCTCACTGGCTTAGAGAAATTTCTGTTTTTAACATTAAAATAACTATGTTTAATATAGTATTTACATAGTTTTTTCATTTTTAATTTTTGAAATTAAACAATTTTTTGTGGGTATACGGGTGTATATACTTACGGGGTGCATGAGACGTTTTGATACAGACATGCAATGTGAAATAAGAAATTCTTTATATTAATTTGAATACAAGCCCTTTATCATTTAGATACATGTACTGAAAATAGCAATCTTTTCCCACTCTTAACGGTGACTTATGATGAACAGATCTTATTTTTAATTTAGTCTAACTTATCTATCTCTTCCTTTTGTGTCCTGTTTAAGAATCTTTCTCTATCTTAAAGTCATAAAGGCATTTTCCTATTTATCTAAAAGCTTTATTGTTTTGTCTTTTGATATAGATATAGGTCTATAATCTACCTGGAATTGACTTTTGTGCACTATGTAAGGTTAAGTTTCATTTTTTTCACCCACAAAGACATCTAACTAATGGAGCAATATTCACTGAAGACTGTCTTCCCAAACTACAATGCCACCTTTGCCAGAGATAAGGAGACCATATATGCTAGAGTGTGTCTGGATTCTCTAATCTGTGCCATTGGTCTTTAAATGTGTACCTTTAAACCTAAAGGTCATTATTAGAAATAATGAGTTTGGCAAAGTTGCTAGATTTAAAGGTAATATATATAAAGTAATTGTATTTCTAAACACCAGAACCAGATAGAAAATGCAATTTTCAAAAAGATTATCAATTATCTAGGCTGGGTGCAGTAGCTCAAGCCTGTAATCCCAGCACTTTGTGAGGCTGAGGAGGGTGGATCACTTGAGGTCAGGAGTTCAAGACAGCCTGGCCAACACGGCGAAACCCTGCCTCTACAAAAATACAAAAATTAGCCGGGCATGGTGGCACATGCCTGTAATCCCAGCTACTCAGGAGAATCGCTTGAACCCAGGAAGCGGAGGACACTCCAGCCTGGGCAACAAAACGAGACTCTGTCTCAAAAAAAAAAAAAAAAAAAAAAAAAAGATTATCAATTCTCAATACATCAAAACCCCAGGACTATATCGTCAAACATTCTAGGACTAAATCTAAAGAGGAAAAAACCATAATTACTGAAATTTTATAATAAGGCATGATAATCTTCCACGCTGTTCTTCAAAAACATCTTGGCCAATCTTAGCCCTTTTTATTTCTATGTCAATCTTACAATGAGCTTGTCAAGTTCCACAAAAAGCCGGTTTAGATATGGTTGGTGCTGTACTAACTGTGGATCAAATCCAGAACTGTAAGCCCAGCACTTTGGGAGTCCGAGGCAGGTTGATCGCTTGAGTCTAGGAGTTGGAGACCAGTCTGGGCAACATGGTGAAACCCCACCTCTACTAAAAAAAAAAATACAAAATTAGCTAGGCATAGTGGTGTGCACCTGAGCCTGGGAATTCCAGACTACAGTGAGCCAAGATTGTGCCACTACACTCCAGCCTGGGCAATGGGAGTGAGATTCTGTTTCAAAAAAAGAACAAAAAAGAACTGATATATTTTTGTACTATCAATATGGTCTAACTCTTCATTTATGTAGGTCTTTATTTTGCTCAATAGCATCTTTTAATATTTTGCAGGACAGTCATTTATTATTAAGTCTTAAAGAATTATTCCTAGATTACTTTTGATGTTACAGAGTATCAAAATATTTTTTTCACTTTTTGTTGTAGGTATGTTTGTTTCTCATTAATTCATATTCTCCCAAGAGTTTAAGACAATTTAATTTAAGGAGAAAATCATTTCTTCAGAGAATCTTTAAAGTCATATTTGTGAGAGAAGAAAGACAAAGGAAAAATAAGGGTAGTCAAGTTTAAGATGAAAGGAATGAAAAAACTAGAATATGCAGGTGATAAAATCCTAAGAACTTGCTAGATATAGATCAAAAAGTTGGCTTTACATTTTCTAGCCATCCACTGTGGTTTTTCTGCTTTAACCAACAAAGTGTTTAACTTTAGAACACAGTAAAAATTAGTCTTCTATGATGTAATGGTTTATGTGCAGACAGAAACTAAGTTAAAAACAAAAAAACTAAAGTGTACATAGATTCAGTGGCTAAAATTATGAGTTTATGGTGTCAATTTTTCTGAGCCCATTATTCAGAACTCACCTTTCCACTGAATCGTCTGGTTGCCTGACAAAGAATTGATACAATTCAAATGGAGATGTCTTATCTCTGTTTAGCCAAACAGCGTTGCCAGCAGACTTTCCCAGCTTTGCTCCAGTTGTACTTGTAATTAGAGGAACGGTGATTCCAAATACATCTTCTCCAGTCAACCTATGCATAAAGAACAATTTCATTATGTGCCTCAAGCAAAGTCGTGGTAGGTTCTACTGTTCACCTTCCAGATTTCTTTCTGGTTACTTGCTCCAGGAAAACTTCCTTGACCTCCTAAATCTGAATTCTTGTCCCTCTTATGTACTGTTACAGTACTCACCCCATTCATTCTGAATCTCATGAGTGGTTCCAGGCAGTTTCTAGGCAGGCCAAGGGGAAGTCCTACTTAACAATGGACTAGAGATTTTGAAAGGCTGAGTGGGAAGGAGAAAACTGGGTGAAGGGGTGTCAGGAAGAGACACTAAAGGAAATGTTCTAAATGCCTTTTAAACATGTGTTTTGCTCTGTAGCACATGAGCTAGCCCTATCCTTCACCCCTCTCAAGAAAATGCTATTAGACCCGCATTACTTGTCAGTTATTTGGAGTTGAAAAAACTTTTTGAGATACCAACCAAGGACTAACACTAGTTTCATGGAGGGTGCAGAGCTAAAGCAGAGGCTAGCTACTCAAGGAGGTCCAGTCATGTTCTAGTATAAACACACAAAGGCAGTTTCTCTAATTAGAAAGGACGACTTAGGGGAACCAAAACAGACCGACCAAATCTTCACTAGTGGTCTGTTTCCTGCAGAGCTCTAGAATACACGGTTTCCTTTTTTTTTTTTTTTTTTTTTTAGATGGAGTCTCCCTCTGTTGCCCAGGCTGGAGTGCAGTGGCGCTATCTCGGCTCACTGCTAACCTTCGCCTCCCGAGTTCAAGCCATTCTCCTGCCTCAGCCTCCCGAAGAGCTGGGATTACAGGCGTGCATCACCACGCTCAGCTAATTTTTAGAATACACCGTTTACTCTTAATACCCTTAATTCAGCCCTTTAGTTCTTATTAGCCAGTGTTATTAACGCCATTATAGAGCCTTAATGGGGATAAAACCAACAAGAGCTGGAACGAAGGGCAGCAACCTACAATCCTAAGAGTAAATCACAGGCTACTAGTGTGTAAATTATTTGGTCCCAGGATTTCCCCAGGGTCTAAAGGCACTTACTTGTTGATGAACTCATATCCAGACATAATGTTGCCTAGTTGATCAGATCCGCCCAGCTGGACCCTGCATCCATAACGCTGGAAGAGGTAATAGAAGTCATAGGCCTGGAGCACCTGGTAAAAGAATTCGGCCAAGCTCATGCCCTCCGCGCTCTTGAGCCGCAGCTGCACGCTCTGCCGGCTCAGCAGCGTCCCCATGCGGAAGTGACCCCCAACTGTCGCCAGAAAGTCCACCAGGTGCTGCTTCTGGTACCAGGCCGAGTTGTCCAGCACAGTGAAGCTGCCCCAGGAGCGCCCATCAGTGAAAAGCTGCTGGTGATTAGCCGCCAGAGCCTCAAGCCCTAGGCGCAGGGCGCGCGCGTTGGCTCGCACGCGCTCTGTCTCCAGCGCCTCGCGTTCCTTGGTACGGCCGCTCGGGTCTCCCAGGCGCGCCGTGGCGCCTCCCACCAGCGCGATCACGTTGTGGCCGGCTCGCTGCAAATGAAACAGGCCCAGCAGCGCAAGAAGATGGCCCACATGAAGCGAGTCTGCCGTGGGGTCGAAGCCACAGTAAATGGTTTGGGGAAAACTCGCCGTGCCACGGTCGAAGAGCTCTGGGAGTTCTATTTTCGTCCCCGTCTCCGGGAAGAAGTCCTTGAACAGACCTCGAGCCTTCTGCGCTGCCAGTAACCCCTGAGGGCCCGAGTGGGCCTTACGCAGCCCCAAGGGCAAGAATACTGAGAGATTTAGGGTACCAGACCAACGGCCCCAGGAAAAGGACCGAAAGATGGGCGCCGCCATATTGATGGCGGCACGAAGGGAATGTTGGGATTGCAGAGGCCCCGCCACACCCACCTGCTTGCCGCTCCTAGGGAAGGTACGTCAGTGTTTTTCTGCGCATGCCCAAGACGGTTACGTAGTTACGGAGCTTGCGCTCTCAGCAGTTGAGTTCCAACTCCAAGTGGCGATTCCGCCTCAGAGCAGTCGCTTTAAGTTCCCTGAAACTTAATTTCCCCATTCGCAGTGGGGATCTACTTATGATAGTTCCTACCTCATAAGACTGTTGTGAACCTTAAGAATTAAAGCATTTGGCACATAACGCTTCACAAATGTTAACTTGTATTTAAATTTTAACGTAAAAAGATTGTGATGCGCAAGTTCTTTGAAGTCTTGGTTCCGTGCAAAAAGCTGCTCACAGAGGTTGAGAAAGGTTAGGAATTGGTTTAACTTCACGGAGAGAGAGAGAGTTGCTGCTGAGACGCAGGCAATTTCATAGTACCGATTCCCCAATTGCACCTCAGTCCCCAGTATTCATCAGCTCTTCCAGGAGGTGGCAGTCTTGTCCAAGCTATAGCAAGAAAAACTCAGTGCAATAAAGTACATGCATCAAGTCCTGTGGTTTATTTATTTATTTTAAATACAGTTAACTAGGTTGGGACACAGCATGAGTGGATTCAAATTAGTATTCACATCGTGCAGCTTAACAGGTGCTCTGAATACTCACCAGGGATGAGGTTCTTACTGGCAACTGGCTGGCAGGTGATCTAGCTTCAAAATCCCACGTTAGAGCCTGATTTCTAGGACCGCTTTCAAAACCCGTGGACTCTGAGTTGGGGGGAGACTGGTTTGCAGGAGGGTTACTGGAGTGTGCTCTTAAGAACAACACCTATAATGGAGTGAGGGAGGCCGGGTTGGGCGGAGGGAGAAAGAAGTTGAACTGTGAACAATTTGTAATAGAGGCCTCAGGCAATCCAGTAGGGGCTCTGGAGCCGGGATTTCCTTTCAGAGTCATCCTGAATTGAGGCCACAGGGCAGACCTTTAGACCCTCTTACTGACTGCTCATTAAATGTGGGATGTTTCTGGGGAGGAAGCAAAACGCTGGGTAAGGCTTTTGGAGAGGGAGATGTGCAGAAAGGGACTCAGCTGTGAGCTATAAACAACCAACGCTCCCAGCAGCTGGGGGATTGAGTGCCTTGGTCCTGGGGCTGGAGTCTGGGCCATGTTCCAAATCATTCCCTACAGGACTTTTCCATTTTTTAACGTTATAAAGTCATCTAACAAAATGAAAACTTATTTTAATAATTAGTTTCTTTGCATGTATAATTATCAGTGAATTAGTTTCTCATTGCCAGACGGTAACTTCAATAGGATTTTGAGATACTCATTCAATAGACTATTAAACATACTCCGAACTGCATAAGAAAATAGAGTGTGTTCTTTCATGTTATTCAAAATATCTTAAAATTTGCAATCATAACCTGTTGATCTGCAGTCTTTTTTTTTTTTTTTTTAAGTGTCACTCGGTTGCCCACACTGGAGTGCCATGGCAGGATCATGGTTCATTGCAGCCTTGAACTCCTAGGCTGCAGAGATCTTCCTGTCTCAGCCACCCAAGTAGCTGGAACTACAGGTGTGGACTACCATGCCTGACTCATTTTTATTTTTTATTTTTGTAGAGACGGGGGTCTCGTTGTATTGCTCAGGCTGGTCCTAAACTCCTGGCCTCAAGCAAGCTTCCCACCTCTGCCTCCCAAAGTGTTGGGATTACAGGCATGAGCTACTTCACAAGGCCAATCTGCAGTCGTATGGTCCACCACTTTGCTCAGAGACAGATTTCAGTAGGTATGGCAGGCAATTCTCCTGAGCACATGTAAGTAAACTGACATCTGGGCCACTTGTCACCTGAAAGCCCAAATCTCAAGAGCTGTAGTGAAAGTAAAGTTAGTTTGATTCAAGAGGCCAGCAACCCCGGGGGAGGCAGCGAGCTAGTGTTCAAAGACCACCTCTGGTTTTTAAGGGAAATTAGGAGAAAGGATTATCAAAATATTTTTGTGAAACATGTACAATCTCAGGTCGGCAGTAAATCATTGCTTTCTTGGTCAATATTTTGTGGCTTTCTGCAGGTACCATCAGCCTATTCTTACCAGGTCGGTCAGCTCATTCACAGAGATGCTGACCTAGGTATTTTCTTTTATCTCTGTTCAAGATCCTGTTTTCCTGAGGCTGATTTTGGTGAATGATCTATAAACTCAAGCAAAGCAATAATTGTATTCAAGTAAGCAAGCTTTCCTCTAACATGGAATCAGTACTGTCACACGCACAGCAAATGGTGCTTTCTATTTAGTACCTTAATACATAAGACACACATGTATTTCTGGTGACACACAACTCTCTGGCTTGTACAGGTGTGTTAGTAACTTGAAAATCCTACTTGTTACAACAATATGTACCGATGTCAGGGTTACTTGATGACCTGTGCTTAATGGAGAATAATTCTGTGGATGATGAAAAATAGAAAATTTCTACCTGGGATTAAAATTTATTACAAAGTATAAAGTGAGGAGCGCCTCTGCCCAGCCGCCCTGTCTGGGAAGTGTCTCCTTCCCCCTTCCCTTCCCCCTTCCCCTCCCCTTCCCCTCCCCTTCCCCTCCCCTTCCCCCTTCCCTTACCTTCCCCCTTCCCTTCCCCCTTCCCCCTTCCTTTCCCCCTTGCCCCTTCCCTTCCCCCTTCCCTTCCCCTTCCCTTCCCCCTTCCCTTCCCTTCCCTTCCCCCTTCCCTTCCCCCTTCCCTTCCCCCTTCCCTTCCCCCTTCCCTTCCCCCTTCCCTTCCCCCTTCCCTTCCCTTCCCTTCCCTTCCCTTCCCTTCCCTTCCCTTCCCTTCCCCCTTCCCTTCCCCCTTCCCTTCTCCCTTCCCTTCCCCCTTCCCTTCCCTTCCCTTCTGCTGTTGTAGCCAGTGAAATAATCTGGAGGTCTCAGCATTGCCTTAACTTTATGCACCTGGTCCCATACCATATGGCTGGATAATATTTTGAGATATGGGTTTAAAAAATCTTTCATCTTCCGGGCCGGGTGTGGTGGCTCATGCCTGTAATCCCAGCACTTCGGGAGGCTGAGGTGGGCGGATCACGAGGTCAGGAGTTCAAGATCAGCCTGGCCAACATAGTGAAAACCCGACTCTACTGAAAATACAAAAATTAGCCAGGTGTGGTGGCACATGCCTGTAGTCCCAACTACTTGGGAGGCTGAGGTGGGAGAATTGCTTGAGCCTGGGAGGCGGAGGTTGCAGTGAGCTGAGACCACGCCGTTGCACTCCAGCCTGGGTAAGAGTGAGACTCCGTCTCAAACAAACAAACAAAACATGTTTCATTTTCCACTTTTCATTTTAACTATGCATTTGTAGCAAGTTGTGTGTGTCAGTGCCTTGGGGAAGGTACAAGGCAGGGAGGAATACAGAGTCATCTGGAACTCTTTGTGTTTTCTGTTTCCCAAAGTCAAAAGCCTAAGATAGGATGAAGTTTAAGGAAATAAGCTTATCAAAGAGAAGGAGGTAGGATTCTCCAGCTTAAAGAGAATGCCCCTGCCCCATACCTGGGCAAGGGAGCCCTGGCTATGGCCCTGGTTTGCCAGAGGAGCTGTGCGTTGCTCTCTGTCTTCAAAGGGACGACCTCCTGCTACACTTCAGACCTGGGGCTCCTGGCTTCACCTAAGGTTCCTCTGCTTCATTTGAGGCAGGAGAGCCCCTGAGTGCCAGCTGGAGGTCTCAGAACTATTGAAGGCTTGGCCAACAAGGATGGCTAGAATGACCGGAACCAATTGGAAATTAGAGATATTATTTCCTGGGGCACGTTGATCAAATTTTGGTAAAACCCTAGAAGGGGGAAGGAGGCTAATAATGATGGAGAAACAATTTCCTACCATTCTAGTGGGTTAAGGACATAGATGTTTGCTTATTCATTTAACAGATATTTATTCGAATTATTTGATCAGTCAGGCACTGTTCTAAGGGCTTAGGACACATTCATGGAAAGAAAGATTCCTGTCCTCATGGAGATAACATTATTCTATGAAGTCATTTTTCTCTGAGCAGTTTTATTCTTCACTTCCTCTTTCTTCATTTCCTCTTTCTGATTGGGCTCCTTTTCCACCCCCAATTTTTGGAGCAGAGAGAGAGTGACTCCTAGATAGTTGTTGAAGAACATGCAGATTAGGAGGGGACTGTGGGAGAGAAACATTTGTTGAGAATGTGACCAAGGGAAAGACATCCCTTGTAGGAGGGTGGTGATTGGGGTGTAGAGTAGAATTCAAGCAGTTTTTCCCCTTTCAATGTGCAATTGTGTCTCCCTTCGCTCCTGCTGCAGTGAATTTTTCTCCTCGCAGAACCCTTTCCCGAACATCCACCCCTTCTGCTCTGAGCTTGGTGACAGCTGCCACAGTCCCCCACCAGCATGTTCTTTCCCAGGCCATGTCGTCAGGACTGTAATTCAGCCATGATTGGCAAGCAACGCAATCCGCCCGGCTGTTTGCTAATGTGATGAGAAAAGCAGGCTTCCCTCTTAGAAACAGGATCTTGGAGACACTATTGTGATTGCATCTGAAAAGCTTAGATCAAACAGATAATGTCTTCAGTGAAGATAATTTTGGAATTTTCCTATTTATCAAGTTACCATAGTAATTTTCTGGTCCCTCTGACAGAGAGTACAAGTGAATCAATCAACTTATCATTGGCCCTCCATCAAGGCCAAGTGGATTCATATCTCCATTGGAGAAGAAACAAAACAATAAGCAATCAGTCTGTGTTTTATAGAGCAATTCCATTTTGATTAAAACTATTTTTGTGGTTTTTTTTCAGTGTCTTCAATATGGACTTCATGTGTTTCTGTTATAAGCACTGACTGGTTAGCTATCAAAATGAGAAACAAGTCTGGAAACATCTCACTCATTAATGTTCTGTAACATCATAAGGGGAACAAATACCTTGAATTTACATAATGTTTGCAGAAAAGTCAAATATTACTTCCTTCATTCTCACAACCATAACAAAATGTGCTTCTGAGTGGTGGTCCAAAGACCATTGGACTAGGAGTCACAGACATGAGTAGCT